GACATCCTGGCTCTACTAAAAATACAAAAAATAGCTGGGCATGGTGACACACATTTGTAATCCCAGCTACTTGGGAGGTTGAAGCAAGAGGATTGTTTGAACCCAGGAGATGAAAGTTGCCATGAGCCGAGATCATGCCACTGCACTGCAGCCTGAATGACAGAGCAAGACTCTGTGTCAAAGAAAAAAAAAGGAAAAAAAATCCCAAAAGACATGTACATTAAAAACTATAAGGAACTGCTTAGAATATTAAAGATGTAAATAAATGAAGACATGCTGTATTTGTGAATGGAAGTCTAAATATTGTGAAGATATCAATTATTCCACAATTTATCTATAGGTCCAACCTCATTACAATCATGGTCCCTATTCTCCTTTTTTGGGTATAAATTGATAGGCTGATTTTAAAAGTTATGTAGATTTAAGAAAACTAAACATTCTCTTACCATATGATCCAGGCAATTGTGCACCTGCGTATTTACTCAAAGGAGTTGGTCACTTGTGTCCACACAAAAACCTTCACACAGCTGTTTATGGCAGTTGTATTCATAATTGTCAAAACTTGGAACCGATCAAGGTGTTTTTCAGTAGACAAATGGATACGTAACTTGTGATGCTTCAAGATAATGAAATATTTTTCAGTGCTAAAAAGAAAAAGCTATCAAGCCATGAAAGGAGAAAACTTAAATGCCTATTACAAAGTGAAAGAAACCAATCTGAAATGCTATATATTGTATGATTCCAAATGTATGACCTTTTGGAAAAGGTAAAGCTAAGGGGACAGTAAAAAAGTCAGTGGTTGCCAGAGTTTGGAGGTGGGAACAGGGAGGAGGCATTAATAGGTAGAGCACAGAGGAATCTTGTGGCAGCACAATTACTCTATATGATACTGTAATGGTGAATACATGTCATTGTAAATTTGTCCACACTCACAGAATGTACAATGCCAAGAGTAAACCCTAATGTAAACTATGAAGTCTGAGTGATAATGATACGTCAATGTAGGTTTTCAGTTGTGACAAATATGTCACTCTGATGGGAGATGTTGATAAAGGCGGAGGCTGTGCATGTGTTGGGGCAGGGGCTATATGGAAAATCTCTGTACCTTCTGCTCAATTTTGTTGTCAGTCTAAAACAGCTCTAAACAATTGTCTATTATAAATTAAAAATAAAATATTCAAATTTACCAATGAATAAATTTTTACCTAAATATTATATAACACGTGAAGAACCTAAAATAGTAAAGATAATTTTGTTTTATAAAACAACATTGTAGGATTTGCATTACTTAACTTTGAGGCTTACTATAAAGCTACAGTAACAGAAACTGTGATAGTGGCATAAGGAGATATATATATGTCAATGAAAAGAGAGTCCAAAAATAGACCCACACATGGTCAAGTGACTTTTGAAAAAGGAGCCAAGGTAATTAGGTGAGGAAATTATATCTTTCTTAACAAATGATGCTGAAGTGAATGGATATCTGCATGGAAAAAGAAAGCCCTTACCTAAGCCTTTACTTTATAGCAAACACCAACATTTGCTAGAAATAAATCATATACCCGACTGTAGAAGTAAAACTATAAAATCTTTAGGGAAAAAAATAAAAAAGATAGTAGTCACAACTTTGGTGTAGGCAATGATTTCTGAAAGGGACAAAAAATATTAAGCGAATTGAATGATTTAATAAATTGTATTTAATAAGAATTAAACACTTCTGCTCTTCGAAAGCACTCGAAATGGGAAGTCAAGCCACAGATTGAGAATAATACATATTATAGTAAATGTACTTGACAAAGATCTTTTCTCTAGAATATATATTTAAATCTTATTAATAATCTGGTAAACAAAGCAAAACGAGCAAAAGATATGAACAAGAGTTTCACAAAAGAAGATATATAAGTGATGATTAAGCATATGAAAATATGTTCAGCATCATCAAAGAAGTGCAAATGACACCACCAATGAGATATCACCACAGAAGCACTAGAGTGGCTAAAATGCAGCGTATTCAATGTTAATAAAGCCCTAAAGCATCTGGAATTCCTATATATTGCTGCAGGAGGAATGTAAAATATGACAACATTGGAAAACAGTCCCACAGTTGTGTATAATTACATACCTGATAATATGACTCTTAATAATTGATAGGAATAGAGAAATATAAACATTTCCAGGCAACCTCTGTGTTTAAATAACCATAGCCATTTTATTTGTAATAGCCCCAAGCTGGAACAACCCAAATTTACTTTAATAGGTGAATATATTAAAAAATTGTGAAGCCGGGCGCGGTGGCTCAAGCCTGTAATCCCAGCACTTTGGGAGGCCGAGGCGGGTGGATCACGAGGTCAAGAGATCGAGACCATCCTGGTCAACACGGTGAAACCCCGTCTCTACTAAAAATACAAAAAATTAGCTGGGCATGGTGGTGCGTGCCTGTAATCCCAGCTACTCAGGAGGCTGAGGCAGGAGAATTGCCTGAACCCAGGAGGCGGAGGTTGCGGTGAGCCGAGATCGTGCCATTGCACTCCAGCCTGGGTAACAAGAGCGAAACTCCGTCTCAAAAAAAAAAAAAAAAAAAAAAAAATTGTGATATATCCATATGATAAGTGAAAGAAGTCAGACACCAAAGATTACTATTTTATTATTATGTTTACATGAAATATGAGAATAGATATAATCTATAGTGACCAAAATTAGATGTGCATTTGCCTTTTTCTGGGAATGGAGGTTTGGGCATTTACTCTTAAAGGTCAGAAAGAAATCTTTCTGAGATTATAGAAAGAGAATATATATTGGGTACTTTGTCAGATGAGTGTATACATTTAAAAATGTATCAAATAAGCATATTTATTCTGTGTAAATTGTACCTTATTTAAGTTTATTTGAAAAAAAATACATAGCTCTGAATATATTGGTTCATTTAAATTTGGGTTAAGTATTTAAGAATTTTTTTTCGTGTGTTGAATCAAGCAAGTAGAGTTGACAGTGGAGGTCATAGCCTCATTCTCAAGGCATTTTCATGTCAAATAGGAGCTTGGGCAACTGGAGTGACTGCAGAAAACTGGGTGCAAATATTGATTATAAAATCCTGGGAAAATGTAAAGGGGATGGGAATAGAAGGAACGTGGTGTATTTTCTTGCCACAATTAGAGTTAGCAGCTGCATCATTCTGATTTTCCTTTTTATTCATTTCAGATTAACTAATTTGACTTGAGGCCATAACATGATTGAGTAAAAATAGTCGTTCTGAGCATAGAAATAAATTTACAAGGTTAATGTAGGGTGTCTCTCTGTTATTAGATGTATCTGAAAAACACTTTTAGGCAAAATTAGGCCAAATTAAAACCACTGGGGTTTCAATTACAATCAACATTCAAATATAAATTTTATTATTATTTATTATAATAATAAATGATGTAGTGTTTAAATGTGCAGTCATGGTTCAGACTACATTTTGCAAATTTCCAGAGTAAGGTAAACAGATTATAAAGCTTTCTGGTATAATATTAACAGAACTAAAAAACATGAATAATATTAAAGAATGGACTTTTTCTAGTTATTCCTAATTCTGTTGGAAGCAATACTCTTAATTTTACTGAAAGAAAATTCATATATAATGTAATAACTTTAATATAATAATTAAATAAATCAATACAACATCTTAACTATAAAATAAAAAAGATAAAACTATCTGTATAAGACAACATGCATTTCAATACATAAATGCTTGAGTAAAACTACCTTAGGAGAGAAAGTGAAATAAAAGTTTGCACCTACTCTTAGATGACCCCAGTGCAATTGATGGGACATTGATATTGTGCTGGTGATTCAAATACTATGAGCAAGGTTGTCACCAGTGATGTGCTTCTCTGAAAGCTCATCTTTACACCCATTGACAAATGGGTGGAAAGTCCAAAAACACAGAGTAAATTATTTTCTCAATTTATATAGCAGATGCATTCTGGAAAACAAAAACAAACAAAAATTTGGTGTGTAAATAAACTTAAATTAGGTTTCAAACATAACGCAAGGTTTTGTTCTTTTGTTCGATTTCATTTGTTTACTACATGCATGACCAGTGGCCCATTCAGAAGTCCAAGTACAAAATATGTTGTAGGATTGTCCAGACCGCTAAGGGACAGCTTGCACCCTGACCCCACACTACACTAAGGCCCACAGTACCCACTCTTCCCGTAGTAAACCAAAAGACATCCTGCGACTTACAAAATCCATTAAGGTTTCAAACGGATAAGGTTTCAAACCTTCTAAGAACCACTGACCTAGGCCATAAAAAACGAACAAATAATAACAAAAACGAGGAATGGCAGTAGTTCTGTTGAGTTAAAGAGGGGAAACCAGGACTGGAAGAGATGAAATTGTGAGTCTGAAAGGAAACCATTGCAAAGGCCTTTATTTCCATTAAGGAAATGTCTCCTGACTGAACTGAAAGCCTTCATTCTAACCATTACTTTGTTCAGGGACATTTCAGGGGCTCCAGGGGGGCTGTTTTATTTTGCACTCCCTTTATTGCCCTGCCAACAGCCTGCCTAGAAGTAATTCCCCGGCCTGCAGTGTGACCTCCCTAGAGGCTACCTTCCCCGGGCTGGTGACTTCTCAGGCACTCTGGCCTTGGGGACGTCTTAGATCTTCTAGCACACAGTGGCCGCACACAGTTTTGCCGGGCCTTTCTCAAGAGGTAAAAGTTCCTAGTTGTTTGCATTTTCCCAAAATAATGCTTTCCATGTGTAGGGATTTTACAGATGTCAAAGTGCTTTCATATCAATTACTTTCTTTAATTTAAAAGAAGTTCAGATCCCAGGTCAAGCTAGGAATGCTCCGGTCTCAGAGGGAAGGAGCGCTCTAGGAAAGGAGGATCCTTTAATAGAGGGCCGTGCTGGGACCGCGGGCCGGGAGAGGGGGAGAGTGGAGGAGTGTCCTTTTTCTCCCCCACCCTCCGGCGGCGGCCCGGCCAAAGCCAGAGGGGGCTGTCCCCTCCTCTTCCCCAGCAGCTGCTGCTCGCTCTGCTCACAAGCCAGGGCCAGGGGACCGGGCAGCAGCGACTCCTCTGGCTCCCGAGAAGTGGAGCCGATCGGTGCCACTACGATGCCGATGCCAGGAGCCGCCGGGGTCCTCCTCCTCCTGCTGCTCTCCGGGGGCCTCGGAGGCGGCCAGGCGCAGCGGCCGCAGCAGCCGCGGCAGCCACAGGCACATCAGCAAAGAGGTACAGTCGAGGCACGGGCTTGGGTTGCATCCTTTGCCGGGACCCAGACTCCTCACTTCCATTCTCCCGAGAGTTGTTGTCTGGGGACGCTGTCTTGCTTCGCCTTCAAAGAGTGCGCTTTGGGGCAGGAGGAACTTGATGCAAGTTCAAGTTCAAAGCCCTGAGAGTGCGGTGTAGGGGAATTACCCACCTCCTGCAAAAGGAACGGGGAGTGCTTTTCATTGTTCACTCATTTCGAAGAGGTCTTGCTATCAGGATATAAACTGTAAATTGATTTCTGAAATCGTTTCTAGAGGAAAACATTTTCCAATTGAAAAAAAAAAAGAATTTATTCAAATCAGATCCAATTCTGCAGAGAAAGGTTTCCCAAACTGTGCTTAATCGTGGGACTTTATGGAGGGTAGCTGATACATCTTAGAAAACAATTACATATATATACTAGTTTTGCAGAACTTTGTTTTCAACTTTTAAGACAGGATTTCTAAAGAAGTTATGTAGTTTTTTCTTTCATGGCAATGGTGCCTCCAGCCTCACCTTTTTCAAACCCACATCTTATTTTCATATCCTATTTTATTGCAGGGAAAACATGAAATTTCTCCTTTTGCCTAAATACAGAGGAGACTTTTATGTCATGTGTACTTTAGGGCTACAGTGACTAGATATACACTTTGGGAGACTTTGGAAGATGGCTCTATTTAATGTAACTTTATAACTTAGTCTCCTCAGAGCTGCTTAGTGTTTATGTATATATATAAATGCATATGTATAGTACTGCTAAAAATGTTAGATTATAAGAACAAATATCAGAACTACTGACTTGGCTAGACATTAACTAGAAGAAGGATAAGTATATTTCAAAATTTTAGCAGTTTAACGTTTCAGAAACTTTATATAGACTCCCAAAAGTTTCAGAGACTCCCAAAAGTTTGGAGTGAACACTTTTGGGAGTCTCTGAAGAGTTATTTTATTATCATGAATTGTAAACGAAATTTAAAATTTAAATTTGTGTAGTATTCTGAAACATACTTTGTAACACATTTTTTCAGCAAACAATTTTGTAAGTTGGAAAACCTGTATCAAAGCAAAAAAAAATTTAAGAAATATTTTTGCTTTGATTTTAAATATCAAAATGTTTAATTCAGAGCACAAAATCTGGAGGTTAGAAGCTTTAAAAAATTTTAATGAGGCTGAATCTGCTAAAGTTTCGAAATGTACTTAACCTTCTTCTAGCTAACTTCTAGCCAAGTCAATAGTTCTGATATTTGTTCCTATAACCTAGCACTTTTAGCAGTACTTTTTTTTTTAAGAAGTAAAGAGATATCCTAAGCTCCTTCTATAATAATAACTCCCTGATTAAAATTCTTGGAATAAAAATGATGTTGAATTCATTATATGACTATTTTTCTTCTATTTTTGCTTTTGCTTTTCTGAGAGGTAAAATGGTACCAATATGGCTTAATTAATAGAATTTATGAGATGGTGATTTTGAGAGTATCTCTGGCCAATGATTTTTTGAAATGCTACTTTTAACGATTAAACTTTGCTCAATTACAAGATGTGTTTTAACAAGACATAATACTTTAATAATGTAAGGCAGCTGGGAGAAATTAGGGACCAGGGGCACCAGCCCTTATGTTCACTTGGAATGGGGCAGAAACTCAAAGCATGCAGAGTAGGGATCAAGTGAATTGTTGCTGAGAATTATCCTGAGCACACACAGAATCTCTCTTCTTTCCTCTCGCTTCTTATTTACTCTCTTTTTAAGCTAAGGTAATATTAACTCTGATTTCTATGACCCAGGCACAAAATGAAGTTAATTCAGGAGGAAGGGTTTTTACTGCCATTCTGTTAAGATACCGCTTAGATGCTATATACAATAAAGAATTTTATTCAAAATAACTACAACATACCATCTACTATAACTGCTATAACCTGCATTCTAGTATCTATTATTGTCTTTGTTATAGACCATTTACAATATATTTGGTGGTTGGCTCAGGATAAATGATTTAAACCTGTTAATGTTAAAAGCATGTAAAATTCATGAAACTTTAAAATTGAGTAGTGCTTTATGATTTAAAAATACCTTATGTATATGATCTTTATATGCCTTCTGATACTATTACTCTCAAAGGACAAATTTAAAACTTAGGCCTGCAGTAGTTGTAACTTAAGTTTATGTAAGAATAACTTAAGTTTCAACAACTAAAACACTTCTTGTATTATTTGTGCTGAAGTCCCTTTTTAATGGCTCCAAGATTTTTTTCCATTTATTTTTTAGGCCATGTTTCCTTTTCAGTGTTGTTTAATTAAAGCAAGCCCTTTGTGAAAATCATGGGATATGAGTTTGACTGGAGAAGTGTTTTCCTGGCTATCATCAACTTTTCTGTTTTCGATTATGCTAGCACTGACCTTTCTAGTCAAGTGCTAATTGTGTAGAAGTTTTATTTCCCCTTATAATTTGATGATAATTTATTAAGAATTTTGATGTGAAGCAATCATTTCTAGATGTTATAATTGAGTTAGAAACATAACCAGAGTTTTTGTTTTTTACTTTTTCTTTGAAATCTTATGTGGTTTCTATAGCATACTATATTGTGGTATGAATAGCATTGATTCAGCATGAATGATATTCCAAGGAAATTATTTAGCTATATTTAACATGGACAAAATAGGAGAATGATGTACCAAAATGACTCTGCATTTCAGCAAGGCAGTGGCTTTTTTTTTCTGATATTCTTGTGAATAATATGTGGAAATGGAAGCATAATGGTAGGTAAATTGTAACTGATTGAAAAATAGTTTCCAAAGAATATTGCATGGTGGATTAAGGACAACCTGGAAAGAAGTCTCTAGCAGTGCAACAGAGATTTTCTTATGCTCAACTATCTTGGTAGTGGCTTGATGGAAAACATAGAATCCAAGCATATCAGTACTGCAAATGGTCCAAAATTGATACAAGTGGCTAAGCTGGTTAATAACAAGTTCAGAAATTTTAAAGGTCTCTATAGCCTGAACTATGAATGAAACCTACGTGAAGTTGGTTTTATTATTCCTGTCCACATGTTAAAAAAAACTCCATTTGTCTTCTCTGGAAATTAGTTGTATCCTTCATATGTTTAGGAATGAATATAAAGGCAGGAAGAGAAAAGCCACTCAATTGCAGCAAGTTCAATATGAACATATAGTGTGATATGGCAACAAAAAGTTGGCTCACATTTATACAAAAGTCAGAGAAGCACATGGGTCTGTTGGTTAACACACATTTGGGTATTTCATTGACAAATGGGTGTAGATTCAGAGAAGGGAGAGCAGAATGGTTAAGAGTCTGATAAGATTTTCAGAAGAGGAATGTCCCAAGTAAAGCTTTTCCATCTGAACAAGGACAAATTTAGGGAAGGCAATCATCAAGGCAATCATCAGAGATATCCTCAAATTTTTAGAAGAGTCGTATGTGAAAGAGGGACTATTTCAAAGCCTGAATGTGGATCCATAGAAGAACATGACACACAACCAGTTTGAATTTTATGAAATGGAGAAGACTGCTCTTCTCCTCACTCCCTCCCTACACCATTTTGAGCTGTTCAGAAATAGTTAGATTGTGTTTGGGCACTTTGCTTCTGGAAATGATAATGCAGTGATCAACTAGTCAGGGATGCTTTATGAAGGAATGCCTCTACTGAGAGGAAGTTAAGACTCATCAACCGTCTAGCCATTTTTCATTTCTAAGATTCTAATATTATAGTCTATTGTTTTTAGAGTGCATATGTGTATTCAGTTTCTGAATTTTTAAAATGTGAAGAAAATGTTAAATATATAAAAATGTGTGTTTTAATTCCTTCTGGGATTTAAAATAAAAACATGTTTGAGACAATCCTCAGATGTATTTGGCAAGAATACTTAAAAATTTAGTTTGGAATTTCCACATCATCGTCAATTGTACAGTTCTAAAACATCTTGTGTTATAACATGCAAGAATACTTTATAAATTACCTGAGAAATTTTCAAGGGATTCATAGTGGCCATAAACCTGGAAGTAACTTTTTTTTGATGTTTTTCTTTGCTGCATATGTAACTTTTTGGTTTGTTTGCTGTATACTGACCTAACAGTTTAGTAAAATGATTCATAACAGATAAAATGCATGGCATTTCAATGTATTCAAAATATTTATATAAATATATTCAACTCTGAATATTATAGATGTGGTAGAATTAATGAAATTGACATAAATTTTATATTATGTTGTATTTCACATATCAATGTATACAGATTTCTGGTCTATCTTAGTCTTAAGATTTTTCTATCTAGGATTTCATGCAAACTAATGAACTGAATCTGTATCAAGAGATTCTGGGGTCTGGGCATGGTGGCTCATGCCTGTAATCCCAGCACTTTGGGATGCCTAGGTGGGTGGATCACCTGAGGTCAGGATTTCAAGACCATCCTGGCCAACATAGCAAGAACCCCGTCTCTTAGCCAAGCATGACTGCACATGCCTGTAATCCCAGCTACTCTGGAGGCTGACGCAGGAGAATCACTTGAATCCTGGAGGCAGAGGTTGCAGTGAGCTGCGATCACGTCACTGCATTCCAGCCTGGGCAACAGAGGGAGACTCTATCTCAGAAAAGCAAAACAAGACAAAAATTTAAAAAGAGCTGCAACTTATTATCTGTCCAGTTTGCAGTAGGGCCTTATTTATCATCTAGAGACCATGTGAAAAAGATCAGGAAGAAATTATTGTAAATAATTATTGTAAATAATTGCACAAGTGGTTTAACTTTTAATCTAGAAGATTGGGTTTTAGGATTTGTTTATATTTGCAACTTGAAACTTGCAACTCGATAGCTAAGCAGGAATTTAGGCAGAAGCTCTGTTGCAATGAATGAGAAAACAAGATAGAGTTTAGAGAAAGATAAAAGCAGATTGTCCAGGCTTAGATATCAAACAGATAGAAATAAAACTAATTCTAGGGTTTTCTCATTGGTAAGACTGAATTTAG